GAAGCTCATTTTCCAGACCTGCTTCTCCTGGTTTCCCTCCTTGCATCCACTCTTCTAAGAATCTGTTCCACCAAAAAACGTTTCCCAGACAGTGTCTCAGGGGCTGCAGCAGTGCCCAGACTGAGAAATGCTGCTCTAGGCAGGCCATTAGCCCCAGCAGGGCATGGTTTTGGGGGGGTTTAATCCCCAAAGCAAAGCTGTGCCTTTGATCACTCCCTCCATTACCACGAGGTAAGTCATGCTGCAAGGGGAACAGAGGAACACGGGGTCAGGGCTGAGTCCCAGCCCATTCCGGCTGCTCAGAACCACGATGATGCAGAACACAACCCAGGACAGAACAAGCTGCAGCCCTCAGGAGCTCTTCAGACACGGGGGGGTTTAAAGGCACACAGCAAGAGGTTTGTACTCCTCTAGTGAGTATTCACCCATGGAAACGCCAGTGATCCCTTGGCAGGAAGGTGCTGCACTGATGTGTGGATGTGGAAGGCTGGAGGCTGGCTGGATCACCCCTGCACAAGCACCTCCATCCCTTGGGAAGTGCTTTGCTGGGGCTCACGTCCCCTTTCAGCTCCATAAGGCTCACAGCCCTGAGGAGGAAACTCACTCCAGCCCAGGACCAGCATTCTGAGACTCCACCAGCTGCTGAGCCCTTGCCCTGGTTTCTCCAAGGGGATGATGAAAACAGGGCTGGGTTTCTTTGGCTCCAGGCGAGGTTTTTGCAGAGCTTTATCAAGGGCAAACCGCTCCTCAACTACCAGGGACCACATCTGATAGAAGCACCTGGGGCAGGTGACAGCAGAGCCTCTCCTGCCTGCTTTGGGCTGTTAGCTCTGTTGACACAACACCATCAAAGGCACCTTCCCCCCAGCTCACAAGGGGAAACCTGAGCCTTAAACTCCAGCAGCTCCCACTCAAAGCACAGAGGGAGGACCTGGGGGAAGAACAGAGCCAAGAAGAACCAACAACCAACGTGGGAGAGGGCTTTTTGCACACTTATGGGGCTGGGTTAAGGCTACCTGGGAGGTTTGCAGGGCAAACTTGAGGCCGATGGGCTCTGCTCATTTACAGGCTAAAGCAGGGAGCATCACCTGCTCTGATGTGGCTGTGCCTTGACACTGAAGATGGACAGAGGGGATCAGAGCATTTAATGAACAAGGTTTACCTCCAAGGCTGGCTTTATCCTCAAATCCTGAGGGATATGAGCAGCGAAAGCAAAGGCAGCGTGAGTGCAGGGAGAGCAAGCCACCAGGAAACAGGTCCTGGAGTCCCACCTCCCCAGCGGAAGGGTGGGCACATGGAGAGCTTTCCATAGCAAACAGGAAGAGTGGAGCCACGAGTCTCCTCGAGCCCCCTGATAGCACACTGGGATCCCACAGTGGGAAAACACACAGCACCAAGGGGGGGAACTGGGGCCTTTGCAGCTCTCCTCCCTCCCCAGCTATCTGGAGAGGAGATGGGATCGTGCTTGGCTGTGGGTGATAAAGCAGAAACAACAGGGAGGATGTGCAGATGCTGCAGGACTTCAGCTCACGTTCCTCTCCCTCAAAGACCTGCTCTTTGTAACACCATTCCTTACTCTGCCAGCACAGCAAGAGGCTTGGTTTGGGAAAGAAAAGCTTTCCATCTCTGTCCCTAAGCCCCTGGGAGCACGGGCAAACCTCCTGGCATTTTTCTTGCTGGTTTATAAAAGGTATTTCCCAGTTTGATGCAGGCAGAGGCCAAGTACAGGGCTCCTGAGGAGCATAAACTAACACATACAGGAAGGGAGAAAGTCTGCAGGAACACAGTCTGGAACAGCAGGCAGGCCAGAAGGAAAACTGCCTGCGGATATGGATACACCTCGAAGTTATCCCCTGCAGCCCAAGGAGGACACAACAGGAGACAGGCGATGGGGAAGGTCCTGGGTCAGTGCTGGTGGCCAAAGCAGCCTCTGCCAGCAGCATTCATTGCAGAGATGGGCAGGATCTCATCCAGAGTGCTTCACAACCACATGGAAACAGGACAAACCTTCCCTGCCACCAGCACAGCCTGCATCAGCCAACTCCAACCTCACGCCAAACCCCCCGCTATGGGCACCCCAGCATCCCCCATTGCACGAAATCCTGGCACTCTCCATCCCAAAGGGGTTTGGTTTCTTCCCTGGCTGTTTCAGCTGCACAAGAGCTTGTTTTGGGGGGAGCACCAGAGGATTATTGCCACCAAAGCCACGCTGCGTGTGCCCTCGCTGCGGGAGCGGCGTGCTGCAGCTTGAGTCAGAGTGGAGACTAACCCTTGCCTCCAGCTGCATCAACAGGCTCCCGTGTAAACCACCTCCAGTCCTCTCTGTCAGGTTCTCCTCTGTGCAGATAGGCTCCAAGTCAAACAAGTGCCTGGGTTAATTATGCAAATGGAGAGAGAATAAAGCAAGCATCCCTAACACATGGAGAAAGGCTCCTGCCTCCCAGGGACCACCTACCCCGGGATAACATTGCAGCCTTCCCACGTCATGCCAGGGCCCCCCTCCTGCCCTGGCAAGGCTCCTATGTGGGAATGGAGGAGGTGGAAAACAGCTCCAAAGTGGCCAAAAGAGCTTGAGGGAGAAGAGTTGAGAGGCATTCCTGTTCACGTGCCTAACATAGAGAACCTGCTGCCTTTACGCCCTCCTTTGTAGAGCGTCGAACCCCACCAGGAAAAAGCACTACATAGAAGCCAGGCATTGAGTCTCTTGTTCTGCTCCAGCCTAATAAGTCCAAAGTCAAAGCCATTGTTTTAGATCTAAGCACAAAAAATACTTTGAAACCTCAAAAATTAGGGGGTTTGGAAGCAATTATCTCCCTCCTCCTCTCCGAGACGAAAAGCAACACAGGCCAATTACTGCTTTGAAGGCTAAATATTTACTGCTGGGTGAAGTGCAGCAGCTCGGGCTGGAGAGGAATCATCCAGCTCTGATGTCATCTCATGCCTACAAGGAAGAAAACCCAAAGGAAAAACAGGTATGAACAAACAACAACAGAAAAGCCCTTTGGAGAGGGAAAAGGATGAAGTGGTTTCAGCTCACCCGTGTCCAAGGCATTCAGTGTAGCCCTGGCACTGTCCTCCCAGTCGCTTTAGGTAGCCCTACCCAGGTCTCATTAGATAGGATGCTCACGCTTAATGAGGGCGCAAGGAGAGTGTGAGCCAAGCTCTTTGAGCAAGAACTGGCCTTGAGGAGCAGCCGGTGCCTTATCCTGGAGCAAGATCTACCCTATAGAGTCCGTAGGGGCAGGTGTGGGAACTCCTCAAGCTCCAGCAGCAATTAGCCTGCACACAGCGAGGGCTCATCCATCAACGTCAGCTCTTGTAAAGAATAACAGCCCTCCTGCCTGATTTAGCTCTGACTCCTGAGTTTCAAAGCTCTCAGCTTTTGCCCCCTCCAGCCACTATTCTTTCCCAGGCAGCGGATGCCAACCCTCCGGTTAAGGGCACCAAGGGATAAAAAGAGAGCAGTTATGTGTAAGACACAAAAAGGAGAGCGGTGATGTGTAAGATACAAGCACTTATGTGTAAGATAGCACCAGGGGCACAAGCAGGGAGTGACTCATCTCCTCTGCAGACCAAGGAACAAGAGCTCTCTGTTTGGGGAGCCCGCCTGAAGTTTCAGTTGCGATCCCATCTCGCTCCACGCGCTCGTGACAGCATGCAGAAAGATTTCCTCGGGGGATCTTCCCATGGGACTTAACTCTGACACATATTCCCACAGGACTCGTTCTTTTCAAAGTGTAATCTGTTAGTAAGGCACTGGGAATCTGACTCGGTGAAATACCAAGAGGGTGAGTGAGCAGAGCTGGGTGCCGGCGGCTGGAGCCATGGACACGACTGCGAGTCGTGCCCCGCATTCAATGCGACGGAAGAACTCGCAGGGCTGGAAGAATAGATGTGCTGGGTCAGAGCAGAGGTCTGCAGGGGCCAGTATCCTGTTTATGCTACCCATGGCCTCTTCTCCACCCCTGAGCACAGGGAGATTGCTCCAGCTGGGAACAGGGAAGAGTGAGAGCCGGTTTGCACACACATGCAGGCTGTGGTTGCTTTTCTCTCAGTTCATGGCTGGTTAATTCTCACCTGCAAGCATCACGCAGTGGATGTGCAGATGCAGGAGTCAAACTATGAGGAGTTGCTGGGTATCAGTCTGTACAAGCAGCCATCAAGCACTGAGTTACACGTTAACATGTCAAAGTGACAGCCCACCAATTCCCAGAGGACACCGGGATGCAGAAACATCTGGATTTGGAAGGACTTCATAGAAGGGACAGAAGTGTCAGACAAGAAAATAGGACTTTAAATAGTAACTGAATAATCCACAACACTCAAGAGTACAATGGAGGAGGATGGGCACCCAAGCAGACACATCAGCAAGGAGTGGCTGATGGATGCTGAGCTCCTTCTCTTCCTCCTACTCTTGGTTGCACTGCAATCACTGCTTTAACACTGACTTTCCTCCCCCCGTTCTGCTTGTCTCCAGGGTTATTGCAGTCAGATTGAGAAGCAGAAGGAAAGCAAGCACAGTGTGTGTGTGTGTGACATGGGGAGCACGAACACCAGGCTGGGAAAGCAGGGCTGGTGTTTTCCTGCCCTGAGCACGGGGACTGCAGGAACGTACCTGCTTTCCCACGCTGTGGGTAGCCCGCACGGGCATGTCTCCTCCACTCCTCAACATACCTGAGGTGGTGGCTACCAGGGTTATTAAAGAATACAAATCTCTGGGCTTTGAGACATCCATTATTAACAAAACAGCCTCTTGTGGGCACAGGGAAGTGTCACTCATCCCGCGTGGCACGAACCGGCCCCGAGCCGCTCCTCCAGACAGAGAGGAACAACCCAGCACAGTGCTGCACTATGAGGATACTGAAGTCTGTGGCCAAAAAAACCCCAATATCACCTGAAAACTGGTCAGGTAGTGATAAAACACATGGGGAAACCCAGCCTGAGAGCGGCTATCGCAGAGCTGAGGTGGGGTTTAAACCTGTGATAGTGGCATTTCTCACCTGATGCCAGGGGCCGGATCCACTCCTTGCTGTTCAGGTCGAGTCTCCAGAGGTCGTTGAAGGCAGCGTTACAACTGCTCTGTGTGCAGCCACCAAACACGTACATGGACTGGTTGGAGTCGTAGTAACACGCACCTGGAGAAGAGAAACACATCAGGCAAGGCCCTGACATTTGTGTTTTGGGGTGAAAAGAGAGATCAGCCTCCCCTCTGGCAGGTTCAAGCCATTCCCCTTGGCCTGTCCCTACAGGCCCTTGGCCAAAGCCCCTCTCCAGGTTTCCTGTATCCCCTAAAGAGGCACTGGAGCTGCCCTAAGGTCTCCCCTTCAGGAGCCTTCTCTTCTCCAGGCTTTCCCCCCGTTTCATACAGAACAGCAGAGGGGCTGCCCCAGCTTCAATAAAACCATGGGCCAGCTTAGGGATATCCCTGAGCAGCATAAACCTCCAGCAAGAACCTTATCCCCTCAAGCAGAGCTGCTCCTGAAAGTGCAAGGCAAGCTGCCTTAGTAGCCTGCAGTTAATGAGATCAGCTATGATTAGCACTCAGCACACCTCCCTTCTCTGAGCTCATTCCTATCATGTCCAGGGTCACCAGACGACACTAAGAAACCAGCCTGTGTACCCAGCCCTTCACTTACTGCTTTTTCCAGATCTGACAGCATTTCATAGAATTATTTGGGTTGGAAAAGCCCTTTCAGCTCACCCAGTCCAACCCTTACCCCAGCACTGCCAAGGCCACCACTGACCCATGGCACTGAGGCCTCATCTCCATGGTGTGTGAACACTTGCAGGGACGGTGCCTGCAGCCCTGCCCTGGGCAGCCTGTTCCAATGCCTGAGCACCCTCTGGGGCAGGAATTGTTCCTCAGCTCCATCTAACCCTGCCCTGGTGCAGCTTGAGGCCGGTTCCTCTTGTCCCATCCCTTGTTCCTTGGGAGCAGAGCCCAGCCCCTCCTGGCTCCATCCTCCTGTCAGGCAGCTGGACGCAGCCATCAGGTCCCCCCTGAGCCTTCTCCTCTCCATCTGACCCCCTCAGCTCCCTCAGCCCTTCCCCATCAGACTCTAGACCCTACTTTCAGCATCACTGAAACACATCCTACACAAGCATTCCCTCTGCTCCTTATGGGAAAGGATTAGGCAGCGAGATGGGGAACAGGGAGGGAACACAGCACTTGACAGCCCACCAAAGATACCCAGGGAAGTAAAGAGTGTTTGGCCCCAAACCAAACTCTGCAGAAAAAAGAAATTATATGTGAATGTCTGCCTTTGGCAGTGCCCCATGGCACCCAGGCACCTCTGCTGGGAAATCCATTAAACATGAGAGCAGAGAGGACTTGCCTTGGAGGATGAGGAAGATTCAAGCGTGTTCAGAAAGTTAAATCCCTGCAGCTACAAAGAGGATTTCCCAAGTTCTTCATTTCCCTCCTCAAATACAACACGCCCCATTGACTTCATAGAATCCCAGAATGGTTTGGGTTGGAAGGGGCCTTAAGGCTCATCCAGCTCCAACCCCTGTCACAGGCAGGGACCCCTTCCACTGGAGCAGCTTGCTCCAAGTCCCTGTGTCCAACCTGGCCTTGAGCACTGCCAGGGATGGGGCAGCCACAGCTCCTCTGGGCACCCTCACAGGGAAGAGCTCCTTCCTGCAGCGCTGTTCAGAGCTGCCCCCCAGTTCAACAATAAAAATAGATTCAGATGATGTGACCTGAGGGGACACGGGGTGCTCGGAGCCTGCACACACAGAAGGGCTTGTTTTCCTTTTGGAAACAGCAGCCAGAAAAGAAAAGAGAAAGAACCTACAAAAGGAGCATCTGGAGCAAAAGGCTGATAACCTACTTTTGGTAGCAAGAGAAAAGGGCTCAGAGCAAATCCCCACGAGAAGTCCCTGCTCTCAGCTTTGCTCTAGGCCAGCACAAGCACGTCCCTGGTTTCCAGTGATCCAACACCACAGCCTTATTTTTGCAGGCTGGAAGGAGGTAATTCCAGTGTGGAATTGCTGGGTAACACATCCCACCCCTACGTACACCAGTGACACTCATCCTGATGTGTGCTCAGCACCATGCTGGGACACGATGACACCCGCTGGTCTTTGCTGAAGGTCCCATGCTCTGATCCCCTATTGAAAAGCCAGCAGCCCTCATGCCCTGGGCTATTAGGGATGAGTCCAGGGTGCTTTGCTGACCACAGGGTAGGAATGGGAGAGCTGGAGACATGGGATGTGCTCATAGGGTGAGACCACACAATCTATCCCTATCTACAATGCCCTTATGTGCAACTGAACTGTCTTCATCGCAGCCACATCTTGGTGAAGGATTTAATACCTCTAGCGCCACAGCCCATCACTTTGGAGCTCTGTCTGGGTTGGAGGGTACATAAATGATGGTGAAGTGCATGTGCCTGGCACAGGATTGAGGAAGGAATCACGATGAAGAACAGTTTTAGTGCTTGAGCTGCTCCCTGAGAGTCAGCCCTGCCTCATTTTCACACAGCAGACCCTTGGAGGTCACCTCCACCCAGCACAGGGTGAGGTGCTTCACACCCTAAGCCCATGCAGTTAACACCCAGCGCAAAGCAACACCGGGGCTTTTCTACTTCACCTCTCAGGAAGGGCTTAGTTCCTTTAGAAATCTAATCCCCACCTCAAGCACGCCATGGTGAGAGCCTCTTCCTCCTCCCCACATCAGCCCCTTGGCACACCGCAGCCCAGCTCCTCTATTATGTTGGAGGGGAGGTGGCAGCATTCTTCTCCTCTATTTGGCTTCAAACCCCAGGCCAGCCAGGCAGGCACCAGGAGGCATTTTAATCCCAGCCCAAAAGAAGTCAAACTTACTGTGCCTTGGTATTCCTTGTAAAGCTGCTGAAGCTGAGCAAGGCAGACTGGTTTGGGGAGGCAAAAGGACATTAGGGGTCAGGGAGGAAACAAAGCACAAGTGAAAGCTGCAGTTTAAACCAGGCTTGCAAAGGGGTAGAATAAATCAGGGGAGAAGGGTGGGAGCCCCTGGTGCCCAGAAAAGGGTGGAGAACACTGGATTTTGGGTTGATTTTTGTCAAGTGGCAGTAAAATTCAGTGTCCCCCATGTTTCAGTGCTGCAAACACACGGATCTTTGTAACTGGAAACGAGGGCAAGAAATATTTGGGCTGTTTGAAGATGCTGATACCCGAACAGAGCACAGATGCAGCTGGATTTGAACGTGTTCCTGTTCGCCCTCTGTGCTGCACCACAAAGCATCAGAGACCTTTGCCTGGAGCACGAGATAACTGAAAGGAAGATCAAGTGGGAAGGGAAGACTGACTGCAGAGCACATGCCCTTTGTGGTACCTGGCTTTTTAAATGTCAAGTACATCAAATAAAGTCACCTGAGTTCAAAGGCTGCATTCCCCATTGGAGAGAGGGGAAGGAGTCAGCTTGGCTATTGGAATCCCACTGCAGCTAAAGGCTGACAGCCCTCGATGTCAGCATTCCCAGGAAGAGCCGGCCAAGCTGATGCTGCAAGTGTTGTACATGGAGCTGCTGGCACTGGGATTGGAGGTAACCTTTGCACATCCAACCACACTTGGCACCGGAGCCATGGATGGTGGCACCGAGGAGGATGGGCTTGCAGATGAAAGCTCCAAGTCCTGCTTTGCACCAAGCACACGGGCGTTGTGGCATGAGAAATGCCCAGCATTGCTCACAAAGCCCAGCTCTGCACACCTTCAGGGGGAAAATCCCCACCAACCCATCTCCTATGCTCTAACCACCATATCCCTGCTCCTTGCAGTGCAGGCACTCAGTGTAATCAGAAGGCAGGGCTCCATTGAGCAATGCTGGGTGATATGAGAAGCTCTGGTGTAAAGCAGCCCATCCTGTAAACCAAACAACATTCCGGCTTCCACCTCGCCCCTGCCTCTCAGGGTGAAGGCAGGGAACTGCTTTTGTTAGTCATCCCCCTGCTCCCCGGACTGCATGGAAAAACCAGGATCAGGCTTTAAAATTAGTCACTCTTCCATCAAAGGATCAATATTCCTGGCACAAAGCAGCATTCCTCTGCTGCTTCCCCCTTCCTGCATTCCTCCTGACGTGGCATTCTGACCGGGGCCAGTTATTTAACCACATGAGTCACTGCCCTGCTATGATGTTTGTAGGTTCATGCTTTAGGGCTAAAAAGGAATTAGATGACTCCTGCAAACATCAGACCTGGTGTTTGGCTCACAAACCTCCATGGGAAGGGTTTCTCTCGCTGAGATGGGACATTTAGACCTGAAAAGCCAACATCATTGCTAAAGGCTGATGTGCTGCAGCTTTAAATCCCTCCGAAAAGCTACAGCTCATCCATGAGGTTCCTTATCAGTTGTGTGAGCTTTGCCAAATGCTCCCTCCCCAGGAGACCAGACGAAGGGAACATCCATTCATTACTCCTTATCAAATGGTTCTGCTGTTCCTCCTTTAGGAACTGAGAGGAGACACTTTGACCTCCAACTGTTCAGAATTCTCTTCCTTGTCCTTTTATGCTCCATAAGAGCATTTGTGGCATAGTTCTAATAAATCCTGGAAGTCAGACAGCCCTGACCACTGTTTTGGTGCCAGCTCCTGCTGTCTCTAGCCTTCAGTGGCTCGTGCCTGGGAGATGACGTCTTCTACATGAACTGGTGCATTACTCACCCCTAGAAAGGGATTTATGAGTCCCAAACCTCCTGTTCTTATTCACCTCAGCATCTCAGTAGTTTAGGTTTAAAGATTCAGTTGGAGTTTCTGCAATGAATCATTTGCAGCTTCAGTTTAATGCAGGAACCCAGCAACACACGACCCTTCGGTGGAGGGAAAGCAGCTACTGCAGATCTGCTTTAAAAAATCCCTTTAAATCAGCAAACAAGTTAATCCAGATTAGCCTTCTGCACAGAAAGTGCATTAATAACGCTTGGGGAGCAACTGAGGGCTGACCAGAGCTAGGACAGCATCAAACAGAGAGGCTAATCCAGATGACATGCTCCAAGGGCAGCGGCTTTAGGGAGACAGCTCACGTTGGATGGAGCGTAACAGCGAAGCCCCCAGTGGGCACCAGGATAAACTACAGAGCACTCAGTGCCTTTGGAGCGGTACCGGGGCCTATTTCAGGAATTCCCAGCCAGCCTTAAAGCCCACAGGTTGAAAAAGGCTGCAAGAACTGAGGGGCAACACACCCAGATTGGGAAGTCATTCATAAGCACTCTGTGAACACTCCACAGCAAGCTACAAACAGTGGGGACCTGCATTCTTCAGGGGGACAAGGAAGTCTTTAAAGAGCTCCACAGCTTCACCAGAGATTCCTGCAGTGTCTCCTGGGGATGGAAGCCTTGTCCTGTGTGACCGTGCCACCAGGCAGAGCAGGCTGAGGCAGTGCAGCACTGCTGCACTACAGGCAAGTTCTATTTCAGTATCAATTCAAGGCCAGGTTGGACACAGGGGCTTGGAGCAAGCTGCTCCAGTGGAAGGGGTCCCTGCCTGTCACAGGGGGTTGGGACTGGATGTGCCTTAAGGTCCCTTCCAGCACAAACCAGGCTGGGATTCTGTGATCTCTTCCTTAATGGGAATGCTTTTTGCTGTTCTCTTGCAGCAACTTGGAAGCAGGGCGAAACTTCACCCATACATAAGCAGTGTGAACTGAATCACTTCATCACCAAATACACTCGTGTCTCATGTGTGGCTGTGTTTTAACCTAAAGGGAGACATACTTGGCCCCCTACAAATCCATCCTCTGCATCTGTGAGTAATAGATCTGCTGTAAAAGCAGCCAGCACATGCCCCAGGCGTGGTGAGTGTGCAGACTCAGTGGTGTTGATTTAATGGCCTGGGTGTAGCAGCTAAGTGAGGTTTCTACTGAAGACACAAAGCTCAGGCTCAGAGTTATGGGAAGAAACCTGCACATAAAATACACAAAACCATCTTCTTCCCTGTGAGGGTGCTGAGGCGCTGGCACAGGGTGCCCAGAGAAGCTGTGGCTGCCCCATCCCTGGCAGTGCTCAAGGCCAGGTTGGACACAGGGGCTTGGAGCAAGCTGCTCCAGTGGAAGGGGTCCCTGCCCATGGCAGGGGTTGGAGCTGGAGGAGCTTTAAGGTCTCTTCCAACCCAAACCATCCCATGGTTCTATGAAAGCCAGAAAGCCAAGATCCCACCCTGGCTCCGCAGACATTCCCAAGGAGCAATGAGCCAATAACCATGACAGCTACTAAATCCCCACCCCTGTGCAAAGCACTTGTGTTGGCAGAGCTGCGTGTTACTGTGCTGCAGTGACAGGGGTCTGCAGCACTTCTGGATCCCAAGGGATGCAGCACAAACCCCTGGGCTGCAGTGTCCAGTGGCAAACCAGGGTGAGCACAGCTCTCCCAGCAGGTACTTACTGTGTGAGAAGCGCTGGGTGATGGGGGTGCCAGGGTAGGGGTAAGTGCGGCTCTCCCACTGGATGTTTCCTTCTTGCACTGCTTTGATAAAGCCGTGATAGCACTGATGGGCCACGCCTGGGGAGAAACGAGACAGCAGCAAAATTGGGGCACATTAGGAACAAACTGTGCCTGCACAAGCAGCGTTGACAGCAGCTAGAAAGAGCTTCTGTATTTAAACAGGCTGAGAGCTGGGCTGGGGCAGCCTGGAGAAGAGAGGGCTCCTGAAGGGGAGACCTGAGAGCAGCTCCAGTGCCTAAAGGGGATGGAGGAAAGCTGGAGAGGGGCTTGGGACAAGGGCCTGTAGGGACAGGCCAAGGGGAATGGCTTGAACCTGCCCGAGGGGAGACTGAGCTGAGCTCTTAGGCAGAAGCTCTTCCCTGTGAGGGTGCTGAGGCGCTGGCACAGGGTGCCCAGAGAAGCTGTGGCTGCCCCATCCCTGGCAGTGCTCAAGGCCAGGTTGGACACAGGGGCTTGGAGCAAGCTGCTCCAGTGAAGGGGTCCCTGCCCGTGGCAGGGGTTGGAGCTGGGTGAGCTTTAAGGTCCCTTCCAACCCAAACCAGGCTGGGATTCTGTGATGAGTCTACGATTAGTGGGAATTTGGAGGATTACAGAGAACAGAAAATAGGGACTGGGTGAACGTGGCAATGAGCAATGTTCACTGACCCAACTCACTGTGTTTCTGGTATCTGCCCCCTCCAGCCTGGCAAACAAAGCCTCTGGGAAAGGTCAGCACATGTGATGCATCCACAGGGCTGGTTTTCACTCTCCTCCCCTGCAGGTGAGCCCTGCTGTCCCCTAATCACACCCCAGAGGAGCTGCTGCCCTTCCCTTTACAGACCTGCCAGGACAACCAACCTGCACCCTCTTCAAACCAGCTCTGGTCAGCCCCGAGCTGTGTATGGAGCACACGTGGCTGTGAGTGTGCTGAGAGGGGCTGGATCCTGCTCCCTGCCCAGAGGGGAGCCTCTGGAGGAGTTCTATGACTGCATCGAACTTGGTGGCTTCTGCTCCACTACAGAGGATGCCACAACCTGCCAAGAGACTCTGCCAAGGATCTGCTTACTGGAAGCTCTGCTGGGAACAGCCCCAGTAAGGAATCACACTCTGGGTAGAAAGCAGGAAGTTTTAGTAATGAAACACAGGGTCCTCAAGCAGCTGGTCCCCAAGAGTCACGCAGGAAACAGGATCTAACTATAGGATTTGATGGCAGATGTATCCTGACAAACAGGAAAAATTAGCCAGGATTAAAGGAATCAATGCTTTACCTCGAGTGACCCCTCGCAGGTTGCAGTTACACTGCCCTTTTGTGCTGTGGTGGCCACAGAACCAGTACAGCTGCCCTGTACCACACATCCCCTGGGATGGGGGACTCCAAGGACAACTCCAAGGCCAGGCTGTGCCTCCGGCTGCTCATCCCTCCCCTCCACTGCAGGGATGTTTCCCACAGTCTCTTTTGGGTGAATCACCGGGTGTTTGATCCCAGCTGCATCCTTTGCATCTCTCAGGCTGTTCCAGGAACAAGTCCTGAGTGAGAAAGTGCATCCAGGCAGCAACTCAAGGGCTGCTGACAGTTGAAATCATAGAATCCCAGCCTGGTTTGGGCTGGAAAGGACCTTAAGATCATCCAGCTCCAACCCCCTGCCATGGGCAGGGACACCTCACACTAAACCATGGCACCCAAGGCTCTGTGCAACCTGGCCTTGAACACTGCCAGGGATGGAGCATTCACAACCTCCCTGGGTAACCCATTCCAGTGCCTCACCACCCTCACAGGAAAGAACTTCCTCCTTATATCCAATCTAAACTTCCCCTGTTTCAGTTTTAACCCATTACCCTTTGTCCTGTCACTACAGGCCCTAATGAATAATCCATCCTCAGCATCCTTACAGCCCCCCTTCAGACACTGGAAGCTGCTCTGAGGTCTCCACACAGCTTCTCTTCTCCAGGCTGAACAGCCCCAGTGTTCTCAGCCTGGCTCCATACAGGAGCTGCTCCAGCCCCTGAGCATCCTCGTGGCCTCCTCTGGACTTGCTCCAGCAGCTCCATGTCCTTATGCTCAGGACACCAGCACTGCACACAGTGCTGCAAGTGAGGTCTCACAAGAGCAGAGCAGAGCAGCAGGATCACCCCCCTCGACCTGCTGGTCATGCTCCTTTTGATGCAGCCTTTCAACAGGGATGCAGGCTGCTGCTGCCCCAGAAGGATCCTAAACAAGTCCCTTTGTGCTGCTGAAGTAGCTGTGCTTTAACCTCCAGCCTGTTCTACTCTGGGCAAGGCAGCAGATGCCAGGAACCCCAGCAATGCTCTCACACGTGCAGAGGAGTCCACAGCTGAGCCATGACCCCACACAACACCCAAAGGCATCTCTCACCTGACACTGTTTTCCCCTCATGCAGCAGTGTGCCTCATTCCTCCACATTTACCTGTGGGCTGCTCTTAATCTGCTTGGGTTTAATGAACCTTGCACTCAAAGCACATGTTCCCAGTGGAAACACAATGGAAATGATCCCATGTATTCCAGAAACACTGGAGCAGAGCACTGGGGTTACATCCTTGTCCAAACCTTACCTACCTGCCTGTCATATCATACCTATCTAGCATTAAAATATCCCCATGAGGCTTCAGGATTAACACTGTGTGGAAGCAGAGAGAAGTATCTGTGTCTCAGGGCTACTCTTTGAGGAAGTGTGAATATGCAGATCTATGTTAATGTAGATTTTATGCACCACTTCTCTTCAGCAGAGCTGACAGGGCTTTGTTTCCAGCTGTAAGCATAAACTTTGGGAGGGCTATTACCAAGCAAGGTGTAAAGGAAGCACAATTACAGCCATGGGATGTGCTGGGTGGTGGAGGGATGCTGAGTGCCAGGTCAAGAGGGAGCATTCAAAAGCAACCTGAGTGAGCTGCTCTGGGCTGGGGTTTCACTCCTTCATGCTTCAAAGAGGCTGAGGGGCTCAGTTCTGGGCTGTTATCAGCACTGCCTTGGGCAGAGCAAGTGACCTGATGGCTGGAGCTGCTGGTCTGGCACCTTTCAGGATTCAGATTTCCCAGTTGAAGGGGAAAACAAGAAGTGAGGCTAAACCAAAGCAAAGAGCAGCTGGGTTACACATCCCCAGTAACAGAAATGGCCCCTCACTACAGGGCTCTGTACCTTTGATGAGTCGATACCACTGTTTGCAGACAAGGGCAGCAGTCTTGTGCTCCTGATAGGGCGAGAGGAAGGAGAGGATATATTCCAAAACCTCCTCAGGAAGCTCCAGCATTGATCTGTTGTGCCTGGTCTCCTCCACCTCCAGCTCAGTGTGTGGCTCATCATCTTGCTCCATCGTCCCCTCCACCACGGCGTCTTCTGGATCCACAGCCATGAACCCATCATCTTCACTGTCCGAGGAGCTGGCCATGGCATTCCACTTCACAGCTTCAGGAGGGGAAAGAGACAACAGTGAGCTCACAAGGAACATTAACAGCACCAGTGGCCCCAGCTGGTTGGTTTGCACTGTGGGGCCAGGCAGTGACAGGGAAAGGGATCCCCACGGAACTGAGAGAAACCCAAGGTGAGACACGATGGAGGCAACATCTCTGCAGCCCCTGCTCCCCTGTGAAAACAGTTTTGCCAGCGAGCCTGCTCTGCCCTGGGCAGCACAACGGGGGGAAATATCCCTGTCCCAGTCCCCCTTAACACCCCCATTTTTTCTTTTTCTTCATAGAATCACAGCCTGGTTTGGGTTGAAGGGACCTTACAGCCCATCCAGCTCCAACCCCTGCCACACGCAGGGACCCCTTCCACTGGAGCAGCTTGCTCCAAGCCCCTGTGTCCAACCTGGCCTTGAGCACTGCCAGGGATGGGGCAGCCACAGCTTCTCTGGGCACCCTGTGCCAGCGCCTCAGCACCCTCACAGGGAAGAGCTTCTGCCTAAGAGCTCAGCTCAGTCTCCCCTCGGGCAGGTTCAAGCCATTCCCCTTGGCCTGTCCCTACAGGCCCTTGTCCCAAGCCCCTCTCCAGCTTTCCTGCAGCCCCTTTAGGCACTGGAGCTGCTCTAAGGTCTCCCCTTCAGGAGCCTTCTCTTCTCCAGGCTGCCCCAGCCCAGCTCTCTCAGCCTGGCTCCAGAGCAGAGCTGCTCCAGCCCTCGCAGCATCTCCATGGCCTCCTCTGGCCTCGCTCCAGCAGCTCCAGGTCCCTCTTGTGCTGCTGCCCCAGAGCTGGAGCAGGGCTGCAGGGGGGCAGAACGCGCTGCTCAACCCTTGCTCAGTTGGTGCTGGTGGTTGGGGAGGGAAGGACACGTTCCCTCCTGTCCCCCAGGATTTACTGCTGCTGAAAGCTGGGACAGTGAATCTTGTCCCTCCAGCTATTCCGAACATCTGCAGTGTAAGGTAACGCACCGACAGAAATACATCAGGAGATAAATCCACCTTAACAAGAGGCTGAGGCCAATTTCCAGCTGGCACAGCCTGCAGTTATCCCCGTGCTTGTCACTGCAGAACAAATCCCTGGACCTTATTTCCTAGGAAGCAGCTGACCTGTTTTGGGAAGTGGATCCTTTCCCCTTCCAATGCCACTGGGTGATGGCCATGGGGTGGAACATCACTGCACAGGCACTGACAGCTCAAACCAGAATCCCACTCATGAGGATGGCTCAGGGGCTTTCTCTCCCAGAATCTCCCATCACAAATTCCTTTTACATCCCTTCCCAGGGATGCAGGTTATAAAGAAGGGCCCAAAGCAGGGCAAATGACAGCTCTTATGATGGTGAGCTCGAGTTCCTTCTGATGGCATGCCATGTATGCAGAGGCTGCCCACATGGACCAGGATGATGGGATGCAGATCAACACAGTCCATGGGATAAATCCAACCTGCAGCAAGCCCAGGAAGCAAACCCACTGCTCAAGGGGAAGACAAGAGGGTGGCCAAAGATGGAATCACCCATGGAACGTGTCTGAGGTTAGAGGCTTCGATGGGCAGCTCCCATGGAGGAACAGCAAGGTTAAAAAGGGTGAACAAGACATGGAAGGGTGAAGTCCACCATGTGGTGTTCAATACATCCATCCTGGTGCAGAGGGGTTTAACATGAGCCTCTAGGTTGGTCATTCAACAACATCCCAAGTCACAAACGCACAGAACACTTGAGGTTGGAAGGAACCTCTCTGGAGGGCATCTGGTCCAAGGCCCTGGTCAAGGGGGCCACCTAGAGCAGGCTGCCTGGACTGTGTCCAGATGACTCCTGAGTATCTCCAAGGATGGAGCCTTCTCTCCTTGGTGACCAGTGACAGGACATGAGAAAGCAGAATGAAGCTGCTGCAGGGGGAGTTCAGACTGGATATTAGGGAAAAGCGCACTGAGGGTGGTGGGTCTCTGGAGCAGTCGCCCCAGGGAAGTTCTCATGGCACCAACCCCATCAGGGTCCAAGGAGCATCCCAGTGATGCTCCTTCTCACATGGTTTAGCTTTAGGTAAGCCTGCGAGGAGGAGGGAGTTGGACTCAATGACCATTATGGGTTCCTTCCAAGTCAAGACACCTCCAGACACAGCTTTTAGCCCAACACACTGCAATACAAGGAGGTGGTAGTTTGTTTTTACCAAACTCTCAGTACCACAGAAAACATGGAAGGAAGGAAGGAATTTAAGTGACTAGTTATGAGGAACCATAGAATGGTTTGGGTTGGAAAAAACCTTAAGATCATCCAGCTCCAACCCCTGCCATGGGCAGGGACACCTCACACTAAACCATGGCACCCAAGGCTCTGTCCAACCTGGCCTTGAACACTGCCAGGGATGGAGCATTCACAGCCTCCCTGAGCAACCCATTCCAGTGCCTCAGCACCCTCACAGGAAAGAACTTCTTCCTTATATCCAATCAGAACTTCCCCTGTTTCAGTTTGAACCCATTACCCCTTGTCCTGTCACTGCAGTTCCTAATGAAGAGTCCCTCCCCAGCATCCCTATAGCTCCCTTCAGACACTGGAAGCTGCTCTGAGGTCAACTAAGCTGCTGCAACAAGCTGCCAGAGATGCAGAGTGTAGGGACTGTAGTGACAGGACAAGGGGTGATGGGTTCAGACTGAAACAGGGGAAGTTCAGGTTGGAGATAAGGCAGAAGCTCTTCCCTGTGAGGGTGCTGAGGCGCTGGCACAGGGTGCCCAGAGAAGCTGTGGCTGCCCCATCCCTGGCAGTGTTCAAGGCCAGGTTGGACACAGGGGCTTGGAGCAAGCTGCTCCAGTGGAAGGGGTCCCTGCCTGTGGCAGGGGTTGGACTTGGATGGGCTTTAAGGTCCCTTCCAACACAAACCAGGCTGGGAATCTCTCACTGCCTTCCCCAGCTCAAGCCAGGGTTTTCCCAGCCTGGCAGGCACACAAGAGCCATGGGAATAGCTGACAGCAGAGCTTCAGAGTGGAAAAGCTTTCCCTGACAACTAATTCCTGCTCAAAACCTGACGTTTGACAGCACTGCTCTGCTTCTGTCAGCCCCAGGGGCTGTCAATCTGCGCTGGAAACCACGGCAAAATGAAACTCCCAGTTCCCATCCTGACAGATGCTCCGGTGTCTCCCGCGTCACAAATCCTTCTCCGAGACAATGTTGTGACAGAGAGGGGCTGGAACCCCACGCTGACAGCAGCAAACTGCATTACACAGCAGATAAAGCACCAATTCCCTAAGGTTAACAAATGGAAAACTAAGGGAAAGAAAAAGAACAAGTGGAGCTGGGCTAAAAAACTGATTCAACCCAGAGGGTTGGGGCTTTTCCAAGCCAAAGCATCCATCACTGTGAAGAGCACACACTGATTTCCATGCTGACACAGCATGGCAGGAAGCCAAGGTGCCGGTATTCCAGCCTCGGGATGCGGGGAGGCTGGAAGAAGGCGGGTTGGGAAACTGGAGCAGCACATCCACCCAGGCAGAGGAGGTGTTTCACAACCCAAGAACGTGCTACAAACCCAAACAGGAGCCTGTCTGCAGCCAGATCAGATCCCAGAGGACACCTGTGGGTGACAGTGTGGAGCGTGAGCCTCGGCTCGCCAGGTTCCCACAGACCTGCTGTGGTGCTGAGGTTTGGAAGCAGAGCTTGTGTGTGATTCCCAACAGCTTTTATTTGCCCTTTAAACACCATCCCGAACCTGCTGGAGGATGCCAGCTGGGAAAGGCAGGAATGAACGCCTGGCTAGGAGGGGTTTTCCAATTATTAAATCCCAATTTCATTTCTCTGGAGTAGGTTTGGGAAAAACACAAGTTCATCACAGGCACAGTCACAGCTTAGGAGTTAGAACAGCATCGCTAAGGCAAATTTAAGAAGACAGGAGCAGGAAACCCCTCCCTGCCTCAAACAGCACATGATTGTGCACATCACAGAACCCCAGCCTGGTTTGGGTTTGAAGGGACCTCAAAGCTCCTCCAGCTCCAACCCCTGCCACAGGCAGGGACCCCTTCCACTGGAGCAGCTTGCTCCAAGCCCCTGTGTCCAACCTGGCCTTGAGCACTGCCAGGGATGGGGCAGCCACAGCTTCTCTGGGCACCCTGTGCCAGCGCCTCAGCACCCTCACAGGGAAGAGCTTCTGCCTAAGAGCTCAGCTCAGTCTCCCCTCGGGCAGGTTCAAGCCATTCCCCTTGGCCTGTCCCTACAGGCCCTTGTCCCAAGCCCCTCTCCAGGTTTCCTGCAGCCCCTTTAGGCACTGGAGCTGCTCTAAGGTCTCCCCTTCAGGAGCCTTCTCTTCTCCAGGCTGCCCCGGCCCAGCTCTCCCAGCCTGGCTCCAGAGCAGAGCTGCACACTTTGTCTGGCCTTACCAGCCCACTTGTTAATATTATCAGTATTCCAATGCATCCACTTGCTCAGATCCCTGTTTTCAATGTGTTTAAGTGTCAAGAACCATCCCCCAGCCTTTCACACCCACCCTGCGCTGTTATCACAAGGAAAGCAAGGCCAGAGCAAGCAATAAACCCAACTCCCAAAAGACAAGAAGCCATCAAAACAGCCCTTTAAGCCTGACCTGTCAGGGATGTGGATTTTGCTCTTATGACACAGGAACAACAGACTGGGAATAACTACCCCCTAGTACAAAGAAGCAAAACCCTGTCCCAGAACCCTGCTCCAACACTGGAAAAGGGAAAAGCAAGGTAAATAAGAGAGCTCAAGCATCCCAGGCAGCTCCTATTACCAACTATTCAGCAGATCCACAGGACAGCATCCCATGGAGGTGTTTTTCCTACACCAGAGCAGTGTTCCTGTCCTGCTTGCCCTTCATGGGGATGCAGGAGGTGCTTTCTCACCCATCCTGGCTCTCCGGACGCTCTCTGCTTGCACCAAGCTGGGCTGCAGCTTGGCCAAGGGCTAAAATGAACCTCAGAGCACTCCAGAAGCTGCAGGGAAGGGATTGAAGCAATTGTGTCTCATCCAAAAGTACAACTCCATTAAGTTGCTGGGATGCATCCAG